TTGTCTTGTGGGGGGAACACGGGGCCCCCCCCCCCCCGTTGCTACTGCAGAGATTCTCTGGTTTGACTTCAGTCCACTGGGAAACAATGGGGGGGGGGTTGCACACCTTCTTGTGGAGGGGTAGTGTGTTTGGTGAAGCTCGCAATCACTATTTTGTGATGCCTTGACTAGTGTTAGTAAAAGTTGGCAAAAAAGGCCGACTCCTGGCTCGCTGAAATGCCTTGCAGATGTTTGGGAAAGGGCAGCTCTTGGGCTCCCAAATGGAAAAGAAGAGATTGGATTCATACCCCATGGCCCTTCACTACCCAAGGGAGTCTCAGAGCGGCTTACAGACTCCTTTCTCTTCCCCTCCCCACAACAGGCACCCTGTGAGGTGGGTGGGGCTGAGAGAGCTCTCTCGAGAACTGCCTGTGAGAGAACAGCAAAATGTCTCTCCCGTGCCACACAAAGCGGGCAGAGCCAGCTTGGTGTGGTAGTTAGGAGCTCGGACTGTAATCTGGGAGAAGCGGGTTTGATTCCCCACTCGTCCTCTACATGCAGGTGCTGATGTGACCTTGGGTCAGTCACAAGTTCTTTCAGAGCTGTTCTCTCAGGAGCAGTTTCTCTCGGAGCTCTCTCAGCCCCTCCTACCTCACAAGGGCGTCTGTTGTGGGGAGAGGAAAGGAAGGAGATTGTATGCTACTCTGGGACACTGAGTGAAGGGCGGGGTATAAATCCAATCTCTTCTCTTCTTCTTCTTCTACTTTAAGACGGGACCGGGTGTGCAAAGTTCAGTTTTGCTCCCTCCTGGCCAGTTTCAGTGAATGTGTTGGGGGGGGGGGGACTGAGAGCCTGTGGGGGGCCCCCTTCCAAATCCGGTCCCATCCTCCCCTTCTCCTCCTCCTCAGTTCTCCATGTACGTGCTGGACGAACGCTTCCCCATGGTGCCTCTTCTCCGCTGGCAGCACATGATGCGCAGGCCGCCCATCTACAGCCACCTCCTGCCCGGCGGGGGGCTGCAGCGCACCCACAAACTCCTCCTTGGCGCCTACCACTCTCAGGAGCTGCTGCTGGTGCAGTACGCAGGTGCGGGCAGAAAGCGGGCAGCCAGAAGGACGGGGGGGGGCAGGCCCTGCTAGGGGTGGGGGTAGAAGCTGGGTGTCCCTGGAGGGTCGGCACTCACGGCTTCTTTCCACAGGTGGCGGTGGCGGCACCCCGTGCCAGCTGTGGGGTAACCCCCGGAAGCTCTCCTCTATCAGCGAGTGTCTCCCCCACTTCCCCCTGCAGGTGCCCGCCTGCCACAGTGCCCTGGAGCAGCGCCTGGCCGTGCCCACAGCTGGTATGTGGCAGGACAAGGGGAAGCAGGGGCAGCCGTGCCTGTCCGTGGGGGAGGGGGCAGGCCGGGGCTTCCGTGCTGCTTCGGAGGGCCCCTCCACCGCCCGCGGCCCCCCCCCATCAAGGCCCTCCCCAGGCTCTGCTGCGGGTTTCCATCTACCCCGCCTTCCCCGCCAGGGCAGGCTGAGGGCGGCTTCCATAAAATTCGACAAATACAACAGCTATAACCACACCCACAGGTTATGGGCAGGGGAAGGGTTCCCTCCGTGCAGACTGGGGGGGGGGGGTTTTGGTGGATCTGTGGCTGTGGGTGGGCGCTCTGCCCTCTGACCGGCCCGCTCTGTCCCCCTCCTCCTCCTCCTCCTCCTCCACCGGGCATGGCGGCTGCCGTGGGCCGGCAGGGCCAGAGGGAGTCCTTGCTCGTCTTCCAGCTCTCCGAGGCCGGGGACCTCTTCTACCAGCCCCTCCTCCACCACCACCACCACCCGGCGGCGGGCGAGGAAGCCGGACGGGACTCGCCGCTGGGGGCAGACTCGCCGCGGGGCCCCCTGCAAGTGGAGGAGAAGGAGGGGGAGCCCTGTGCAGACACCCCCGCTGCCGTCGCCACCACCACCACGCTTGGCACTGCCGCCGCCGCCAGTTACCGCCGTTGGCTCAAGGCCTTTCGGCACAGCTGGGAAAAAACACCGCCTGTGCCCCGGCCTCCCTTTGCCGTCCGCCAGCGTTGTCGCCTCTTCCGCAAGCAAGATCTCCGGGAGCAGCCTGTGGCAGCTGCCACACTCCAGGGGGTCCGCCAGCAACTGCCCCAGGCCATGCGGGA